GGCAGTGAACAACATCAGCAGCAACATACCTGGAAGCAAAACTTGGATTGCTCAGTGCTTTTGCTGACTGGGGGTAGTTGCAGGAAGTCTCCACAGATGATGAGTTGGATTCCTCCAAATGGATCCTCACATTTCCTGACAGTTCTACCAACACAGCACAGAAAAATAACCACCTTCAGTGAGCAGCTATCACTCAGGAGACAACAGAATGCAAAGCCCCTGAAACTAGCTAAACTCATGCCACGGCAACCAAACAATCCTACCACACAGAGGTCATTTCGGGGGGAATCGCGGGGGATCGCAGTTCCCCCGGGTGAGGTACGGGGGCCGGGCATATGACAAAGCCCTGCCCCCTGCTTCCGGCCACCCCGCTTCCGGCCCTCATTCAGCCAGGAGGAGGCAGGAGAAGAGGGAGGGTAAGTTGCTTCCTCCCTGCCTCTCCCCAACCCTGCCTGCCTAGGGCAAGGGAGGGCCTTTGCGGGGCTTCCTTGCACTCCCGCCGGCCTTGCAGGTCCACCGCCGGGCCCCTCATGGGGCTCGGCAGTGGAGCTGCAAGGCTGGCGGCGGCGGCCGGGACCATTGGGGGCAGGGTGTGTGGCCTTATGACACACTTCTGGTGATGGCAGGGTGTGTGGCCTTATGACACACTTCCGGTGATGTCAGGGGGTGTGGCATATGCTAATGAGATCCCCTAGCTCTTTTTCTACGAAACGACCCCTGCTACCACATGTTTGAAACCAATGTTCCTAGGAGACTTTGTCTCAGCAGAAGCTCAGCCAGTGACATTACTTGCATGGTACAATACAGATTCTACCATAGTTCTCAGATTCTCTAGAGCCTAAGACAAAGCTCTCTGCTAAAACCTACAAATAATTTTAGAAGATTTTATGAGTAGGTAAAAGCAGAGGAGAATATCTGCAACTTTGTAATATATCACATTACAGTGGATATAGGGAGCTAGCACAGCACTATGGTTAAGACCACAAGGTGAATTTTCGGTTCATCCATGAGCAGACTGGATGACTACATTCAATCATGACCATTGCCACCACCAGCTTACCCTGTAATGTGGAAGAACAGTGGCATTCCTTATAAAGTGATGGTTAGGATTCCTGAGAATGTGTTACGCACTTTGCGCGAACGGCTAACACATTCTCAGCAACCCTAACCATGACTTTATAAGGCAGGCCACCGTACTTCCATACTACAGGGTAGGCTGGTTGTTGTAATGGAGCTTTTCTTTGCTTCAAGACCATGTAATGACAATCTTTCCACCTTGTTCAATCCACACATCACATTTGTCTTGCAATGCCTACACATGTGATGTATTACCAAGAAATAGAATGCACCAGAGAGAGGCAAAAGAGCTTGCAATGTAGTTCAGCAACCATCAGTGGAAAAATAAGAGTTTCAGGGGGGTGGCATATGGGCAGAATCCTGAGCACTAGGCTAAGGAGTGGAACCAGTTGCCTGGAGAACAAACATGGCAAATATTGTCCAGTAGCCACAGTCCTCTTAGAGCCATGGTAGTACCTTACACTAGATGTGGAACTGAAGAGAACATGTGAACAGAGGTACAATTGCAGAGCTGCTTGCTACAGACTTTGGCCCATAGCATCTCCCCTGAAAAAAAACAGTTATCTCTACACTCTACCCCTTTATCCCCAAGGACTCGAACACAGGTTTTATCAAGGCAGAATTGGGTACAGCTGCAACCTGCCTTGCTAATACCATCAAGCCCCACCCCCACACAACAACAGCAAGTACAGGAGCATTCCCTGTAAGTACACACCTGGCCACTGCCTCCAGTTTATCAAAGAATTCACCATCTACCATTGAGATCTCATCAATGATCAGATGTTGGCAATTCAGCCACTGCAGCCGCACCCCTGACCTCTGAGCCAGCTCAATGCACTGATGTAGGGGAGCTTTTCCAGAACCAATACCTGCAAAGATTTGGGGGAGAAAGAGAGCATGGTGTATTCTATTATCAGGCTCTTTCTACCCTGCTTCATTCCCAAGGTCTTGGTTACCTGCAAAGGCATGGAGCGTGGTGCCACCAATATGACATGCTGCCACTCCTGTGCTGGCTGTGGCATAAGTGCTGTTTGGAGGCAGCGAGGCCACAATCTTTTTCAGCAAGTAGGATTTCCCAGTCCCTTTGGAAATAACAGACACATACAGTCCATGTCAGTTCAATCTGCCTTTCAATTCCATTCTCACGTTCTCTCTGCCCATCTGCAACTTTCCATTGCATGAGAACCATGTACAAGGCAAATGGTAGATACAAATATTGCCTGACTGGAGAAAGTATCATTCAGTAAGTACTGAGGTCAGGAGCATCTCTTCCCACCTGCATCTCAGAAGCAGAACAGAAACATCAGATTTCAGGAGGGGCATTATGCATCCTGGAACTGCATGAACTACAGTGATGGGAAATCTTGAATTAGAACCCCCAGGATTGTGCAGCCCTAGAAGATATTTGGGATGCACAATATGGCAGATGAAGCAGCTGCATCCCCTGCCAAATGAAGCATCTCTCCCCCATACCCTCTCTTGTCTCACCAGCACTGCCTGTGAAGAAGACGTTCTTTCTGCTCAGCACTGCATTCAGCACTAGTGACTGTTCCTGTGTGAGTGTTGCTTTGGAGTGCATCAACCAAAGTAGCTTCTTTGTTGGTTGTATTTCAGTCACCTGGAGAGAAGTCCCACACTCTGAAACAAAGCCCACTCTCTAAGACAAAGCTTGCATTCAAAAGTCAACAAATCTGAAGTGTTTATCACAATTCTACCCCAACACTACCCTCTCTCTTACATATAACCACCAAAGAGGAGAAAAAATGCCATGTGAACAGGAATCTGCTAGTTCATTCAAGGAAAAAGAATTATGGTTTGCAAGTATGATGTTAGCCAAGACTGTGAAACTCCCCTTTTCAAGTTGCACATCATGCAAGCAGCTGTTTTCGCCATTCAACCCCTACATCTGCAGTATGGAGGTACTACTTCTGGTCTACCTTATACATCTATTATAAGGATTACAGAGAATGTAGGTGAAGGGCTTTGAAGATTTGAAAAATTACATGGTTGTTTATTATCACTCTCTCTATATATATTTGAAAGTAGGACACCTGTGAGCAAACACTGCAGTCCACGGGTTGCAGTGTACTTACTCTTGCAAGAAAATATGAGGGAGGGATCAAATGACACCAACTCCCAGTCTATATTTAACTAGGCTGGCACATCTCCTGCTTCAGAGGGTGGCATGCAGGTGCTAGTTCTTAGCAGTAACAGAGGGAGCTCCACAAATCTATCGACTCATTACCCAACACAGGCATAAAGGGTAGCCAAGTTCACCCCCATGCCCTTATCTTCTAATACAGTTGGATTTTCTCCACACTTGCTTTCATTATTATTTAAATGAACAAAGAACTAAAGGAGAACCATTGGATCACTTTTCCTGTCACACAGAGCTTACTAGGCAGAGCTTACTTTAAACTGTTTTCAGTGCCACAACCCAGATTTGAAACATGCAATGTAATGGGTTTAAATATATTTAAATAAATGAGGGCAGCTTTATAATAGAATAGGATGGTAGTCCACTACAATGACTACTGTAAGGATCGCCTGCTCTAACTGCATTGTTTTATCTTGTAATTCCATTTTCTGTATTGCTTATCTTTATCTTTATTTTCTGTATTGCTTACTTTGTCTTTAGATGGTTTATTGTTTACTAATTCTATAATCTTAATCCTTGGTACTGATCGTTGGTTGTTTTATGCTGTCTCATTGCACTGTTTTAGCAGTAATCTGTCTTGAGTCTCCCTGCAATAGATAAAGTAAACAAATAAAGGAGATATGCCTGTATAACCACATGCAAAGTGCATTTCTATCTCCGTTGTCTAATCAGTACCTAGAGCTATCATGTTGGAGCATGCAGCTTCCAAGCAAGCGTAAACCCAGCCAAAGCTTCTCCTTGTGAAATGCTATTTAAGGAGTACTTGAGTGTCTACATGTTCAAGCCGAAGTCTCACCTGGTTGCCACCCACCGATTCGACCCGGACACGTTTTTGGGGTCCACAGCGGAGGGTCTGGCCTCTCGTGGGGGTAGCTGTGACATCAGCTAGGGCTTGACTGACGTTCCCCTGTTGCAAGTCGCGGGCCTGCACAGGACTGACAGTGTCGAAGGTGCGTGGCAGCCCAGAGAGAAGCCTCGTCCGTTCGGTCACGGGCCTGATTCCCTCTTGTGTTGCTTTGAACTTGATGCGCAACGTCTGAATGAAGCGACGCAACTGGTCGGGAGGACAGTTAGAAAACAGCAGCTGTACGTGCTTGGTGCCTGAACCCAAACGCACCGAGCTCTTCCCATCCTTCATGAAACGTGTGAACAGTCGTACTCCATCCCGACGTAGTGGGAAGTTGCGGGGAATCTCCGAGCCGCTGCAATTTGTCACTTGCAACACTAGCTGTCGGAACTCATCACGACCCAAGGTAACCCAGGCGTCCCGGAGCAGCACTCGACCCGGGATGGCTGCACCCAACTGTTCTATTGCCACAGTGCAGCGAACACGCCCGTCCGACTGGAAGCTTGGTTGCATTCTGTCCCTAAACTGCAGAGAAATTGAAGACCAACACCGGCTAAGATCGATGACTTGTGTAGAACGGACAAGGACCAGTCTGAAATCGCCCTTTAAAAGATACCGGCTTTTTAATGCCCACCAACTTCTGCAGCGACTATAGTTGCGTTTGCTTTCTGCAGGCATAGATCTTCTTTCAGCCTGGCTAGTGCAGCGTTTGCTGCACGCGGATTCAAATCTGAAGCCCAGAGCACATCAGCCAATCAGCGCTGTGGGATCTTTAATTTCTCGGCCAATGGGAGAGGAAGAGGCGAAGCGCGACTTCCTGGCTGAAGAAAGTCATATCCTATTCAGTTGCTAGGAAACCGGGGGGGGGGAGTAACTTTGAGGGGTATCTGTCTGTGACCGAGAAACAATATCCAGGACATGGCGGGGGCCCCGAGGGCCACCAAAGAGCCACTAGACCCCGTAAGTCAGAACAAGATCTTCTGTGAAACGGTCCAGAAAGAACTGCGATGCCAGCGTCTGCATACGGAGTACGGGGTGAATCCTCTCCTAAAGGGTACGGGAATGACGAGCGGCACTGAGCTAAGCAAGCGGCGCGGGGCAGGGGAGAGAAGAGGCGATTTCCCCACCAATAGGGCTGGCTGTCCCCAGTGCAGCAGAACACAAAGAAAGCTTATCAAGTTGATTTTGGAGGTCAGAACTACCGGCTTCAGCACTATATTAAGAGAGGAATCATACAATCATAGAGTTGGAAGGGTCCTCCAGGGTCATCTATTCCAACCCCCTGCCCAATGCAGGAAATTCACAAATACCTCCCCCACCCCACCCCCAGTGACCACTGTTCCAGGCCCAGAAGATGACAAAAGAAAACCTCCAGGATCTCCAGGCAAACTGGCCTGGAGAAAAATTGCTTCTTGACCCCAAAGTGACAATCAGCATTTCCCTGGGTGTGTTAAGAAAAGGTCACAAGAACTAAGCCCTGATGCAACCCTTCCTGCCCTCCCTCTCATGATCTGCCTAAGAAGCAAGAGGTAAAGTCTCGGGGCTCCCTGTTTACTGTTGCAGGATCTTTCTCCTTAACACTTTGCTTCTACAGATGCATGGGTGCGTGTGAGACAGAGAGTGAGATGCTTCATGACCCAGCAGAAATCAAGGTTGTAATTGTTCAAGAGAGTGCATAGCCTGGTGTCTAATAAGATCAGGTGCCGGAGAGTCCTAATAGGCCATAGCATAGCAGTGGCTATTAAACAAAACAGCATAACATAATCCCTTAAAATCCAGACCCGAGGGAGAGCTTGGCCGCGTTTGCCTGGCAGTAGAAATTACAAGACAGTCCTCCTTCCAAGGTAAGGTCCATAATAGAGACACCCACACCTAACTTCATCAGACAAAAGGCCTGTAATGATTTTCTCCGAGGCAGAAGCATCTCTCTAAAAAGGTGGGCAGGCTCTCGAGTATCTACAGTAGGTATATGGCAAAAGTGTACATCAGGTAACCAGAATACTTTGTTTCATCTCTGCTACTTGAGCTCATCTAAAGGTATTTTAAATGTTTTAAAGGGATCACAATTTCTGAAAGATGGAAATTAATCACTTTCTAGTTTCCTTAACCCTGTTATTTGCCCCAGCACCTGCATGAGACCTGTTTAGTTGGGGACGTCCCTGACCAGAGGCCAGCTATATTCAGACAGCCTTTCTTAGGACTGTCCATACAGCAACAGTTAATTCATAGCCTTTTTCTATGGTAGGTGCAGTCCACTGGAATGACTTGGCAGAGTGGGGGTAGAGGGTGCCTTCACACCCACTGCATTCAGGAAGGTGTGAAAGAGTTTTATTTCAGAGGGCATTTGATGTACAGTTTGGTAGATCTGGCTGCATTTTTAACCTGTATCTTGTCAATGGACTGTTGGTTTTTTGCGTCCTTGCAATTGTTTGCTGCTTGTTAAGAGATAAGGCAGGATATACAACTTTAAATAAATTAATATGCATTCTTTTCCACCTTCAGTTCACACCATAACCAGAAAGCCAATGTCCTGGCATGATAACTTGGAGGAGCCCGCTGACGGTAATGAACCCTTCATTGTCAGGATTTTAAGTCATGAATAGTTTACTCTTGCTTTGCCATTAAGAGATAGAGAAATTAAACGTCAAAAGCAGTAATACTGCAGTCTACATTTCTGGCACTTCAGCACACGTGAAAAGGAATAAGCACAAGTAAAATGTTTAAATCATCGAACAAACAGCTATCACAAAATTTGGGGCAAGGTCCCATTTAAGTTATGCATACTAAAGTGCTATTTCAGTTAAATGAATTGAAACAGTTAATAGTGCACAGAAGTGGGGGGACCCACAAAGAATTGTGGAGTTCATCTCATTTAACCCTCCCCCACTGTTTCTTCCTTGCCTTCCTGGCAGCCCCCATAGCCTCTTCCTTTTTCCTGCTTCCTTCTCTCCTTCCCACTCACTAGCCAACCTACGTTTATCTGTCCCCCCCCCCTTTGTAAGCTTTCCCTCTCCTTTGCAGCCTCTGCCTGGGAAAACTATGACCTAGTTGTACAGTGGCAGCAGCCAGGCACTGTTCCGTTGTAAGGAACCCACAAGAATGTCGACAGGGCACTTTACTTTCCTCTGTATCCCCCTTCCCACACGATTTGCTCTTTGCCTCTTCCTGGCAACCTGCAATCTTACCTTTTCCTGCTTCTTTACTTCCTACCAACCTACCTTTTATTTTCTCTCCATCTTTGGCAATATTGGTATTTATTTACTTAATTTATACCCTGCCTTTCTCCACACTGGAGCCCCAAAGCAATAAATCATTCTCCTCTCTTCCATCTTATCCTTACAGCAACCCTGCGAGACAGGTTAGGCTGAGTGTGTTTGACTGGCCCATCATCCAGTGAGGTTGCCCAGCAAAATGCAGATTCAAACCTGGGTCTCTCAGATCCTATTTTGAAACTCTAACCACTACTGGTTTTCATGGGGTGGCTGTAGCAAGCAACTGGGCCTGGGTGAGTTAGGGAAATCACATGGTAGCAAGATGCCCAGTAGATTGCTGCTAGGCCTAGCCTCAACGAGCTCTTATCAAAGGCCAAAACAGCCCCGGAAAGAGCCCTTCCCCCAGCCTTTTACTGACAGAAACCAAGGTTTGAAGGCTGGCAACGGCCACTGAGGGCATTAATTTCTTAATGCTACAGGTGCCTATTCTGTTAATGTTGGAGGTTTTTAATGCCTCATGGTTTGGTTTGGTGTTTTTTTTTAAGATTTCAGAGTTTTCTGCAAACAGGAGGTCTTTTTCAGGTCTTGTCTACCCATGGCTCCAATGTATGGCTTTAAGTATCCACCTATTTGGCCACATTGAGAATTAGATATATTGCTTACTTTTTAAGGGTTTCATTGTAACTCAAAGGCTCATAACTTTTGATGCATTGCATTCAAGTAATCCCCATTTAATACCAGTTCTTTAACCCTGCAGCTAAGTTCCTGAAACTCATTCATCATGCTGCACTTGAACCAACCAAGAAATATAAAGAACCACAGACGGAAAGCCAGGAAATTGGCTGGTTCTCCACACCTTTGGTGAGTGGATTTAAGTGAAACTAAGAGTTACCAGAGCTGGGGGAAGGGGGACAAGATCAAGCCATTTCTTGTTACTGTAGTGTCACAGAGTCTTGAAATACTGTAGGATTATCAGAAGTCAGAAATTCCAGCCAGACATGGATTAGCAGTCATTCAGTTCATTACTCCTTCTGCCAAGTGTTCTTTATAGTATGATCAAGTTCTCTTTTGCAGATCAATACTGACCGGAGTGACAGGAGACTGAACTTCCCAAGTCAGAGCACTGAAATCACCAAATATATGGCTGCCATGTGGCGGCTGAAGGAGATGGTGAAGGATAAAAGATAAAATGGACATAACACCACCAGAGTTTGACAGACCCCAACCACTAGTTTAGGGTTTCTGATCTGGACCCTCTCAATCATTTCTCATTATAGGCAAGGAAGATTTCTGCTTAAACACTTCCGTGCTTGCAATAAACCTGTCTCAGAACGTTGCCTGCCACAGTTCCTTCTGACTTCCTATACTTATTTTGCACAGAAATCAGTTTTTACAAAATGGAAGATCTATTCCACATTGAGAAACTGTTGTACAAATAGAGGGAGTTAACATGGCAATTGATTGGTAGTTGACTATATTCAACCCCTAAATGGAGATGACCGCACTGAATCCCTAAAAGAGCCCAGTGGCGTGGGAATAGGAGGACAAAGGTTATTATTTCAACAGCACAAAAGTACAGTCCAGACACAATAACAACAGCAACAGTATGTGCCAGATGGTGCTATCTACTAAGTCCTGTGTGCCTGTCCAGCCAGTGCCCGGATCAGAATCCCCTGCTGCTCCACGAAATCCTCCATTACAGGATATCACATCCCCAGCTGAACATGCTGTGGTTATGTATGAATGGCCCAGGAAACTTAAGGGATCAATGATCTCCCAGTATAAACATATGCAGAAAGCAGACAGACTTTCAAAACTGTTTAATTCCTAAGCCTCACAGAAGAAAAAAACAGTGTGGAAGAGAGGCAGCAGGGAGCGACTGGTGGTTGTTCATGAACAAACATGGGACACTCAGCATCAGACAGTAGCGCCTCCCATTTCCATAGCTAGTTCCTGAAGAATGCCAAACTTTACAAAGAAAAAAAAAGTCCATTTCATTCTCTATCGGGAACGGTTCTTCATTTTCTGCCTCATCTTTTTGCCAGGCCTCTTCTACAAAGGAAAAAAATGAAGCATTGGTGATTTTCCCCTTACCTTATTCCCACTCTGTCCCAGAAAATATACTCCCCAAGCAGCTCAGTTGTAGAAAGAAATTCCTGAGAAATCTAGATGGATACTGATTATTAAAACTACAAAATTACCTGTTTTCCCCAAGTCATCCAGAATATAATTCTCCCTACTTCCCAGTGCAATAATGGTCTATCCCCCTCATTCTAGTCCAGGACAGATACTTACGTTAGCACCCTTTTTTCCTGCTTTCCCTGAGCCCTTATAGTGGGCTACACCAGCACGAAAGCTGGACACGTCATTGTGACTTTCTCGAGTGTTCCACTTGGACCCTTTCTTTTTACCACCAAAACCAAATTTCTGATTCTTGTAGCGTCGTTTGGCATTTGGTCTGGAAAAAAAGCAACATCCATGATGGTTGGGTACAAGGCTACTGTTTACCTGCCATCCTGCCTTTTCAACAAAGAAGGAACTTCCCTTGCCTCTGCCTTCCGAATCATACATACATAAACAGAGATAACAAACTGTTTCTTACGTCACCATACTCTGAAGGGTTCCCCAGTCTTGTTCAGCCTCTGAGCAGTATTGGATTTTTGAAAACACACATACATAAACAGAGATAACGAACTGTTTCTTACTTCACCATACTTTGAAGGGCTCCCCAGTCTTGTTCAGCCTCTGAGCAGCATTGGATTTTTGAAAACAAGAGTGGGTGCAACTACAAAATGGCAGCCACAGGAGGCAATCACAAAATAATTGCCATAGGGTGCTGGGACCAATCACAAATGTTGGGAGGTTTATAGCCCAGCATCCTATGATGGAGGCAGCTCCCAGCAGACACAGAAGTGATATATCATGGGTTCCTCTGAAGCACTCCGTAAGGTTGCCAGCCTCCACATGGGACCTGGGAATCCCCAGGAATTACCGCTGATCTCCAGACAATAGAGATAAGTTTCCCTGGAGAAAATGGATGCTATGGAGGTTGGACTCCATGGCATTGTACCCCACTGAGGTGCCTATCCTCCCCAGGCTCCAATCTCCAAATCTCCAGACATTTCCCAACCTGGATCTGGCAACCCTACCCCCCTTCCCCTGCCGGTGGCCAGGGAGGACTTGGCAACCCTATGCTCCGGTGAAGTGGAGGAAATCCAGGGTTGGCTCTTTGCTTTGTCTAACAGCAAATAGGAAACCTGCTAATGGGTACCACATTGGGGATCACTGCTCTAAAATAAAGGTTATTTTGTTCAATGCACAATGGATACACGAACAGCCACCATATGATTTAGGTCTCAGCAGCCCCAACACACCACATTAGTCTTCCAGCTAGCTGCAATAACCAAGTTCCAAGGCAGTGCTAATCCCACATGCTCAAAGTCACAATGCAGCATTCCTTTGAAATCTGATGATTTTAAAACATGAAGCTCCTTTCTGTCATCTGGTTACTTTCACACACTGTCCTTATGTTTTGAAGCTTATGCAAGAACCAGAAATCTGTATTTTAAAAACTAACAATTCAAACTAAAAAACATATGGTTCAAAAATATACTTTTGAGAGCTGAATATTGTCTCCCATTTCTCAGCTGAGAAATGTTTTGCGTGTCAGCTCAACACCAACAGAATATACAACAGTAAAAATACCTTTCAGCGGATCAATTTTTGTTCTAGGAAAAGTGTGCAAACATTTGAGTTACACAACTTCTCAGACGAAAAAAATGATTTAATAAAAGGCCTATTAATAGAAACATGAAAGTGGAGTTTCTGGCTGAAATCCCTCCACTTGCAAAGGTCTTACCCTTTCTTTATCACTTGGCCTCCAGGCCCCTCTTTCTTTTTGCCCTGAGAAAGTGGTGGCTGTTCTCCCTCCAGGAATTCCAGCTTGTCTGAGAGACCTGAATAAAGAATTGCATGGATGCCAAGCCACAGAAGAATGTTAAAATAAGCTTTAGCCCTCAATGGACAAGATCTCTACATGTAAGCACTTTTGAAATGTTTCATGATGTCATGTCATAGGTCGTTATAACTTCCATTTGATAGATGGAGAGATGTAGACTGTGCAGCAACAGCAACACTAAACATAATGAAGTTTGAGTCCAGTGGCACCTTTAAGACCATCAAAGTTTTATTCAAGGTATGAGCTTTTGTGTGCATGCACACTTCCTCAGACACAATGAAACGGAAATTACCAGTCCATACATATAGGTAGAGGGTGAACAGCAAATTAGCATACAACATGGGATAATGAGCTAAGTTTATATGGTCACCATTTGTTTGGATTTAATTTGGGGGGGGACACAGTGAAGTAAATATGTCAAAATTAGAGACTGATATGTAAATGTATAGTTCCTCATTGTGGAATCACCCCACCTCAAAGAAAAGGATGCTGTTAGTTACCTCCATGTTTGAGCGGAGACAGATGGAGCATAACAACAGTCGCTCCAGTCACCAGACCAGACAAATACATACCAATCTACTATTCTAAATGACATTACATTCTAATATTCATTGCATTACAATCACTATTCCAATCTACTATTGCAAATAAGAAATATACTGAAGTAAAGAGGATGTATAGCTCTTCTTGGTGAGACTACAGATGTAAGGACTGAATGAGTTTAGCATATGAAGTGAGATAAGAAACCAATATCCCTGTTAAGTCTTGTGGGGTTGTTCCAAGTATTGTAATAACTTTTAATTCAGTGATTTCCCTTTCCGGCCTGTTCCTAAAGTTCCTTTGCAATAAAACAGCTACTCTGAGGTCACCCATTGAATGTCCTGGAAGGCTGGAGTGTTCTACAGGTTTCTCATCCTTGTGATTCTTGATGTCAGATTTGTGTCCATTTATCCAACCTAGCAGTTCGAAAGCAAGAAGTTGCTAGTAGATAAATAGGTACCACTTCGGTGGGAAGGTAACAGTGTTCCGTGCGCCTTGGTGTTTAGTCATGCCGGCCACATGACCACGGAAATGTGTTCGGACAGCGCTGGCTCTTCGGCTTGAAAACAGAGATGAGCATCGCAACCCTAGAGTCGGATTCGACTGGCTTTCGAGCAAGGGAACTTGGGCATAGGGTTTGACTGTTTCCCCTATGTAGAGAACCAAAGGGCATCGCTTCACTGTGTTTCGCCCCCAAATTAAATCCAAACAAATGGTGTCATATAAACTTAGCTTATTATCCCTGTTTGATCCTTGCATCTGTTAAAACATCATCATGTTGTATGCTAATTTGCTGTTCACCCTCTACCTATATGTACGGACTGGTAACTTCCATTTCAATGTGTCTGAGGAAGTGTGCATGCACACAAAAGCTCATACCTTGAATAAAACTTTGACTAAAATTGTGTTCTACTGCTTCAGACCAACACAGCTACCCACCTGGAACTAAACATAACAGTAACTGATGATCAGAGGGACTCAAATGCATCTAGTAAAGCTACCAGGAAAGACAGGTACAGACCACCATCCCTTCTTTCTGGCATTCACAGCCCAGAAGCCTAACATGTAACAATGAATTAATGTAAAATATACCAATTTAGGGACACTGATAGTGCAGTCTTAAGAAGTGTTACATCCTCCTAAATCCACTGAAGATGCTAACTATGCCAGAGTCTCTTAAAGACTAGCCAACTGAATGGGGGGGGGATTAATGTTTCCACCATTAAAGCGTGGGGTAGGGTTTCCCCTTCAGCAAATACTGATGTTTGTGGATCCTGCAGATAACGAGCTGCCACTGACCAGAACCTAGGACCAAATTACATACTATCTGCTGGGATAATCGTTGACTACAACTATTGGCATCTTAACTGGCTTCTGCTATGCAGTGGTAATCAGAGATCCCTACATATTTTCCCACCTCAGACACTTCATACACTGATACTCTGATAACGTAGCAGAGGAGGAAGGGAGAGAAATGTGGAATACTTCACCTTTCTGGTATTTCTTGACTGCATGCAACATTGAGGTCTTCTCCTTCTGCCTCTTCTGCAGCACCTCCGTTTGCACCTGTGAAGAAGCAGAGAATGAGCCTTGCTCTTCCTTGTATCCCAGTATTTCCCCTTTTGTGTACAAATATGCATTCACACACACTTCCCACTGCACATCAAGATTCCTATTTGTTTATCCGTAGCAACTGGATTCCTCTTGCAAAGGACTACACTTTGAGAACTTCCAGACAATTTGGTGTGCCAGCTCTCCCTTTCAGTTCAAGGGTTGTGGCCCTTGTCCCAGATCTTCTCCTCACCTTTTTGCCATATTTCCTCAGAGCACGGAGCTTTTTAGCCCTTTCAGACTTCTCCATGGCTTCTTGTTTGCTCTTCAGCTTTTGACGAATCTAATGAGGAAAGACCAAACAACATGCATGCACTTGGGATTTGTTTACAACAGTAACCCTGTTCACAGGCTTCACTGCATCTTTTAAAGAGTGCCATGTTCCTAAATATGGCACTTCCATAATTTCTGCAATATAGCTATTACACAGGAAATCGGGACACCATGCAGAAGAGCAGTCATGTTAGCCTATAATGCCCATGAAGATACTTCCCTTACTCACTAGCAAAAGTCAGCTGTGCTGTAGCATCTCGCATAACAATTCTGGCAGCAATGATCCAATTTATTATCACCACCTTTGAAGAGGGAGATTAGGATGCCAAATCATATTAGTGATTTTTAATACTGAAGCTATGCTATGGTCATTAATCTGATCTAAATAATAGACTATAAAGCTATGTTCCTGTGTTCAGTCCTTACATTGAGGACAGCATGGCGACAACTGTGCTTACTCCTTATGTAAAAAGATATCTACAATATGATAGAAAACATCAGTCAGGACCTCAAGCAAATGGAATATATTGATGAAATACTGATAAACTGAGCAAATAGCCACAGTGCATAGAAGATGTGCTGATTTACTGATCACTCCAATTAATCTTATTTATCTAAACTTGCCTTACACCAGAGTTCATATAAGAAATAACAACATCCTCAACTACTAGTAGTATCAGTTTCTCTCTTCTGCTTCGTAAGCCATTATGTTCCACCCAAGACCACTGCAAGACCACTGAAGTCATCTTCAGGATGTGAGCCACCTCACACTGGACCGGCAAAGCAGCAAGACAATGAATTATCTGCAGTACAGTGCACACTGCACAGAACTTTGCAAAGGCTGTTATTTTCTCCATTTCACTCTTCTATCTTTCTTGGAAGCATTTTTATGTGGAAACCTCAATGTACCAGATTGGAAGTGCTACATTTCTGGACCTGACAGGATCCATCTACAGTTATAACAGATATGGTGGGGGGATTAGAAGCCATATAGCTTACCTTATGAGAACCAGTGTATAGTGATTAAACTATTGACAAACAGAGGACTCACAAGGGACTCACAGGTGAGAGGAAATCCCATCCTCCACGCTGGTGCTCACTTCCTATTCTTCTCTCAGCTGCTACCATCTCCTCTTATTCCCCACTTGCTGTCACAACCATTGACCTTCCTCCCTCTCATCAACCCTCCTGGTCTTGCACTGTCTTCAGTCATTCCTTTTTTAAAAACTGTCTGGTTGTACAGGGCATCTAGGTAATCCTGTAATGCTGCCTGTGATCTCAGTCAGCCTTCTTTTTTAAAGTTGCAACGTGGGCATAGACTCACACATAGCTTTTCCATTCACAGGTGGGGTTTTTTTAAATCCCTTTTCCCCACTTTTACTTTTTAAACTTTTGGGATTTTTCTGCAAACATTACATTTGTAGAAATATCTCATAGTACTCTATCAGACCATATTTTGAAAGGGGGGGGTGTCACTGTATTTTATTGTATTTTAAATCACCTTGGGGACAACAGTTGAGAGGTGGTCAATTAAAAAATGAAACTACAACGGTCCCAGACTAACCTACCTGTTAAGCTTGTTGTGAAGACCAAACAAAGGGGAGAACCTGAGCTCTTTTGGAGAAGGGAAGAATATGATAGATACCTTCTGCATCTGCTGGTCAGATTTTGCCATTTCTGCAAAATAATCATCAGGCCGCCTAGTAGGGACTTTGAGCCGATGTAGCTGAGGTAAGGCTTCCAGCACAGACGCTTGAGCCTGATGATAACTGGGAAAATAAAAAGAATTACATCAACACGTTTAAATCCTGTTTGTACTTTGTGTATTTCATGCCCTGGCAAGGTAGATAAGTGGATTTCAGGCTCTTTGTTGTTGTGCCATGCTAACACATATTTGGAGAACATAAAAGCACAACTAGTCCCTCTTTATTTATTTATTATTTACATTTTTATCCCGCCCTCCCCGGAGGCTCAGGGCAGCTTACACGGCATATCGCCAAATCATACAATAGAACAATAAAAACATTTAAAATATTAAAACACATCACAGTCATAAACAAATTGTGGTGCTCCTCTCCTAAAAACAAGATGGCTGTCTCCTAAAACGTCCCATTCTCATCCAAAGTGCCCGCATCATGGTGACCCTGTACATAAATCATGGGGCGTTGGTGGTACAATGGCGATGGCGGCTCCTATTCTTTCTCTCCTTTGTCACCTAAAATTGTCATTGTCGTCAGGACATACATTGTCTTGTTGAGGCCACATTCACATCTCCCTCATATGTCTTGTTTTGTATTGCATTGCTCTGTTCCACAGAGGTATCAAGCAGCTCATGGCAATTGCCTTCTGGAAACTTGCTGCTATAACATGCATTCTTCCTTGTCCATGTGATCCTCACTTTTCTCCCTTGTTCCCGTCTCACAGACATTAATACTAGCATGTAATTTGCAGTGCAACATACTAAGTTTTCAAAAAGCATCTCATATACATGGACTTAAAAGCTCATCTTTCTCACGGAGTCGTCCTTGTGGTCAATGTGTGGAATTTCTTGTCTCACAGCAGAACTTCAGCTGGGGAACTTGTGGCCTACGGGCTTTAGGTGCAGGCTTCCTCCCAACCACTAGACTATGGTGTTTGTTGATTGGAATGGTAGCACTTTCTTCCCTACTTGATCCAGTTTCTTTTAACTGGCAAAAAGGTAGTAGTTTGCAAACGTTGATGGGCTATGTTTGGTTCCTAGGAACATTTGAATTCCTTATCTGAAGGGAGTCTTGGAGCTTATGATTACAAGCATCAGTTGCTGTCCTTGTAAACACTGGGCTATGGGTGACCTCGGACAATGGAGATGCTCTGGGCTCTCTGTGTGTGAGCAGTGTGTGTAGGGGAATGGGCAGGAGCATTACGTGTAGGGAAATAGGCAGAGTAGAGTGATATGACCATGGCACTGTGGCCGCTGCAATGTATTGATTAACTGTGCAGAACACCCATGAGGGGAACAGTGTGCACTGATGATGTGACTGATGTCAGAATTTCTAGGGATACTGCAAGAGTGGCTAAGCTAACTTTTCTTTCTACAGCTCTTGTACTGACTTTCCTCCCATATGCACAGGATGAGAAATCTACCTAGTATACTTTGATCAAATGTAGTACACTATTGTGAGCCCTGTCACAGCAGTCATCCAGCACAGCAGGACCACAGGACTTCATTGGCAAGACACATTAAAAAAAATACAGTTTGTTCTTTGCCCCAGAAAGTGTAAACACTGTATATAGTGTATCCAGCAAGCTCCTTGGAAGCCACTCATATACACAGACTTACAAACTCATCTCTCTCTTGAAGTCATCCTCAGGGTCGACAGCAACTTTATCAGGCATGTGACTAGAAGCAACATTTTTTTCCAGACAAGAAGCCACATCAAGCCTTTCTACCCAGGCTAAATGTCTCTGGAATTCGGATAGACACTGTTTCAATCCATCCTAGAAAGAAGCACATTAACAGTGATTAAGTGGAACATGTAAGACCTTTTCTACATTGACTGGTATATCATCTTACCAAGAAAAGCACTAGGAATCTGAAAGGTTCCTGCCCAAACACACCCTAAAGACATCATGACAACCTCCGCATTAATACATCCATTCCCCAAAAGTATTTGATAACTCTCAGATGCCCATCCAACATAGTATGCAATGTTTAAAGGTTGCTTCTTTGCTATATGGATGTCTGTGTTGTTTGAGTGTCAGTCTCCTCCCATCCAACTTCAACAAGCAAAAGAAATTCAGCTGCAACAATAATAGCAAAACCCAAGGAAGACACAGAAGGTTCCTACTGAATCTAAAGGGAACTAAATAAATTACTGTATTATAATGCTTTACCAAAAAAGTTATAATTTCTTTTACTAAATAAATAGCAATATTTTTACTTGCCCCTTCCTCTATGATCCAAGGGGATAATGCAGCTACCACCCTATATATCTTTTGTATAACACCTTAAAAAAAACAAAAAACCCCAAAGCCATTCCAAAAATGGAATACCTGGCTGTCAAGTATTAAGCTCAAGTACAACTGAACAGAGTGACTGATGCCCCAGCTACATACTAAGTTCATAACCTGGAAGCTCGGCATGCCAACAAAGGTCATGATCACCTAGTACTCACCACATTGTTGAAAGCCTTTGGTCGTCCCTCAAGTACAACATTTAGACCTGGCTTTAATAAACCTTTAGTAAACGCTTTCTGAAGCTATATTAGAAAAAAGAGACACATAAATAGCATTCCAGGAAACTGATCCTCACAAATGTCAAAGAAATTAGCTCAGCCACCCTCAACTCTTGATGAAAGAATGTGTGAAAAACAAAAATATACAGATGAACACCTGGAAGTATACCCGGATTGAGGTGCTCATACTGTTGTCTTACCCTTACAGGAGTACATTTAGCTTGAAAGACTAAATATATGTTACTGAAAATTCATACAATATTTGAAACAAACCTCAGCACAGCCCAAGTCACCATATTGCCTTAGGCAAATCAGTAGTCTCTCCATTATCAGCCCCCCCCCCATATGGAGACCAATATATTGGGCTACCTTACAAGGCTACTGTAAGGACTTTTGAGATAATATATATTTGATACACATTCTCTCATTATAACAAAAGTGATTTGTTGCAATACATGTAACACCCTACATTAAATATCATGAGGTATAATACAGTACTTCTATCACAAGTCACTCTAAAAAAACCTGTGAAAAACCACTACTGTTTTCATACCTAGGAACTAAATACACCATGACCCTGCTAAGCTGAAAGAATGGCTTTTCACAGTAGTCTATAAAACAAAAAGACCCTAATAACCAGGGCTATTTTTGGGCTGCCTTCCGATTTGGCCACGCCCCTTTTGCATCGTTCCTTCTCTTTTCCTTTCCCTCCTTCTTTCCTTCTCTCCTTATTTCTTCCCCTCCTTTTCTTCTCTTTCTTTTCCTTTCTCCTTCTCTTTCTTTCCCTTCTTTTTCTTTCCCTCCTTCTTTCCCTCTCTCCTTCATTCTTCCCCTCCTTCTCTTTCTTTCCTTCTCGCCTTTCTCCTTCTCTTTCTTTCCCTCCTTCTTTCCTTCTGGTTCTTTCCCTCCATTCCTTCTCTCTCTCTCTCTTTCTGCGCAGATCTGTGCATTCCCCCCCACCATACCTAGCAATCCAAAACAGTCCAGTGGCACCTTTAAGAGGTACAAGCTCTCCCTACTCTGTGAGAGCAGATCTGTGCTGTCAGGGGTGTGGCCTAATAGGCTAATTAGTTCCTGCTGTTGGGTGTGGCCTATTATCTAATTAGTTCCCGCTGGGGGTTTTCTAATACCATCAACCACCATTATCCACTATGGGACACAGCCTGACCATACTGTTAGAACTATATCTCGTGGCACAGCAGAGCAACCCGAAATTCACCCTCACTATTGAACACACAGTCAAACGTACCTCTCGGTCAGTGACAACAGATTCTTCAGAATCTGAGGACGTTGAGAAATCTTCCATGTCTGCCTGGAGCACTGCACGCTGCGTTCTGGAATACCTAAACTTCGCCACCACCAAACTGTAGCAGGAAAAAAAATTAATGAAGCACACTCCTTCCCAAAGATCATGAAAGAGATGCGGTAGGTTTGCCTTTGGTAGCGCTCCTGAACCTTTATCAAAAACCCAGCAGAGGAGGGCTCCCCACCATATCTACATATCGAGAAAACCTCTACTCGACTAATTTCTGCTCATCACAGAAAACCTTGACCAGGAAACAACATGACAGTCTTAGATGCAAACCCGAGCTTGAAATTTCCAGTCGGAGACTCCAGACCAGCCTCCAAATGCAAGAAGGGAAAAATGCCCCCACTTACTCACCACAACCAACCACGCTCTCACAATTCACGAGGAAGCGTGCAACACTACTTCCGGCCCCCGAGAGCCCGCAGTTATGTACTTCCGACTCTGCTTGGACGCTTTTTCGCCGTGCTTCTGGGACGCCGTCTCCATGGCAACCAGTTCTGCGGCCCTTGTTCTTTTAGTCTTCTCTGTCCAGAGTCAGGGATCATTTCAGCGAGCGCGGCCGAGATCGCGAGCCGGAGCCCGAGGGAAGAAGCCTGGGTACCTGTGGGAGAACGAGAAGTGGAAATGAAAAGAGCATCGGCGGGGAAAGATTTGCGGAAGGCTTGAGGAGCCCCGAGGAGGCGGCGGCTGTGGGAGAGTAACGTGCGGCGGGGACTCTAACGTTTGTGTCTGTCTTCCAGCACAGGTTGCTGAATCTCAGGCGCCATGTCGGTGATTGTGGCACAAGCTCTCCACATTTTTGGGTTCCAGTCTCGTGTAGCAAATAATATTTGTTTCTTTGACGAACAAATAATAGTGTATCCCTCGGGGAATAGCTGTGTGAAATATCACATAGAACAGAAATGGCAGAAGTTCATTCCAGGTAAGTGAGCCTCTTACTTTGCTCTCCCTCTTCCTTATTCTTCAGGTTATGAAGAGGTAAAATGAACTTTCCCTCCTATTTCCCCACCTTCAAAATCTGAAAGGGTGCCTTTGGCTATATACAGTTGTCAGGTTCCTGAATAGGCAAGTTTGTCCCATATAGTTGGCTGCTGTCTTTTCATTTGTAGAATTTATACATTAAATATTACTCAAAAGTTAGTCATGCAAGTTAATCAGTAAAAAGTTGTGGGTGGAGGACTTAGGTTTGGGGCACAAATTGTCAGAGCTCCTGGAGAAATCAGTGCCCAACAACAGTCATTCAGAGGAATAAAAGTTTATTGAGTCATTGATAGGATCTGGACTCTTAATGATTCTGTGTTAGAACTGGGGTAAAGCGCGCAAAGCCAGCTATTATACCCAGGGGTTGTTTCGTAGAAAAAGAGCTAGGGGAACTCATTAGCATAACTCATTAGCGTATGCCACATGCCGTGATATCATAAGGCCCGGCAGTGGACCTGCAAGGCCGGCGGGAGTGCGAGGAAGCCCCGTCAAGGCCCTCCCTGGCCCCAGGCAGGCAGGGGTGGGGAGAGGCGGGGAGGAAGCAACTTACCCTCCCTCTTCTCCTGCCTCCTCCTGGCTGAATGAGGGCCGGAAGCGGGGCAGCCGGAAGCAGGGGGTGGGGCTTCGTTGTGTGCCCCGCCCCCCTGCGCCTCACTCGGGGGAACTGCAATCCCCCCCGAATCGACCTCTGATTATACCTAAATCAAAGAGGATCCTACTGGCCCTGGGCCAGTCACACCTAAGCTAGAAGCCTGCCTAAATAACGGTATACAATTCTGAGGGGAAAGAGGAGCAGGGATGGCTAGGCTCAAGGTTACATAGGCCCCGGTCACATGGCAAAGTTGCCGTGGGAGAGGCACGGGAGTCCCGCAGATTTTCCGGGTGCGATCACACCCCAACATCTGGGAAGCGCAGTGCTCCCGTGGCTCCCCGACGAAGGTGCGAATTAAAAAACTAGTACTTACGAGGTACTAGTTTCCGGAAACCGCAGGCCAAGGGCGGGTGTCTGATCGCGTTTCCGGTTGACTTACATGGCATCCGGCGCCCGTCTCAGTGCTACAGCGGCCAACAGCGCATGCACACAAAGAGCGATTGCTAGTGCGATTGCGCGGCGCGGCTTCTGTGCCACGCTACAGGATACCTGTCTGGTCGGCATCTCCCTCCTAACCACGGGACCTCGACCGGGACGTGTGCTTGGGTGGCCGCGCGTTAGTTTCCTCCGGGGCAATTAGCCACGCCTCCCCCCCGCGATATCCGGCCCGTGTGACCGGGGCCATAGAATTGTAGAATGTTAGAGCTGGAAGGGACCTTGCAGGTCATCAAGTCCAACCCCCTGCACTCTGCAGGCGCATAGCCGAAAGATAGCCCTACAACATACCTAAAAGATGGTCGTTCAGCCTCCGCTTGAAAACATCTGAGTCAAGGAAGATAACAGCCAGAAATGAAAGTATACATTCTTCAACTCACCCCCCACGTTCCCATGGCAACCAAGCCCAAGAAAGGGGCTAGGCTAACGCAAATAACACATCAAAAGTGAAAAGTATGGTGGGGGGAGAGTGAGTTGCAAACCTGAAGTTTACATTGCTTAATGCTTTCCAAATAGGGTCTTTGTGTATACCACTCATTAGTGACTAAGCCTTCTTTTTTCTTTTTTGCCAATCTCTTTGCAATAGGGAAATTTCTGGGATTTGGATATTCTGGATTATTGCTCATGGAAAAATTGAAATTGGTTGCCCTTTGATCCCAGCTCATAATTTTTTTTTGCATTAGACTAGCTGAATATTTTTCTGTGTTCTTTATAGGCTCAGAAAAGAGCCAGGGGATGCTGGCGCTGGCTATTAGCCCAAACCGACGATACTTGGCCATTTCAGAAACAGTACAGGATAAACCTGCTATCACGATCTATGAACTGTCATCTGTCCCATGCAAGAAGCGAAAAGTCCTGAATACCTTTGATTTTGCTGTTCAGGAGTTTGTTAGTCTGGGGTTTTCTCCTGATTCCAAGTATCTAGTGGCTCAGACAGGACCTCCTGAATCAAACCTTGCATACTGGATGTGGGAAAAGCAAAGATTAATGGCAATTGTCAAAGTTGATATTCAGAACAACCCTATATATCAGGTAAGGTAGGAGAAAAAAAATCCCTTCTCCATGATAGACGTCTCTTGGGATGTATTTGGAGACTTACTTAGATTGGTATAATCAACCAGTAACACTGGAACTACTATGAAGCCCTGCATGCATTTTCCATGATGAAAAGATTCACATGATATGTTGGGTACAAAATTCTTCAAAAGGGTTATGGAAGCTAACCATTAATTTATTAAAACATTTATATTGTCTTTCCTTATGGTTCAAGATGGCATACACTAATGAACCAAAAACATCCAGCAAGTAATTAGGAGCCTCTATAATTGTTGTGTTCTTATACACTGAAACTATATCACCTACACCAATGGAGGCATAATCAGAAGAAGTTCCTACATGCCATCTACAACTTGCTTTATGATTGAACAGTATCCATGTGCAGTGCTGATTACAGGATAAACATGCCTTTTGTAAGAACCACCCCAGGCAGTGCACTTAATCTAAAAGTTTTGATTGGCAAGGTGACTGGAGATATGGCCTGACAGCTCTTGCTACTCTATATGAAACAGGGCCATTTCAAGTTACAAATTATTGTGGCTACCTGAGAACTTTCAAACAAACCTGTAGTGGGAGTTCCACACTGAGTACTCAGTTCCCAGGTGCATGAAGGAGAAGGGGCTTAAGCTCCCCCCCCCCCCCCCCCCCCCCCTCCATCTGAAGTGGCCCAAGTGAGCTACTACTTGCCCTGCTGTAGATATACAAGTTATGGGCAAATAGTGACTCTGGGGCCATTTGTGTTGGGAAAACAATGCAGGGGGAAAACATAAGCCTTCTCTCCTTGTAGGTCATAGTCATGATCTGAATGAGACATTAATTAGGAATTAAGATTCGGCAGGGAACTTTCAGAACACATGGGAGATGTGAACTTTGTAATGTGTGAATTAACAGGATTTCCTTTCTGTAACCACTATTCATCAGATACTATACCATAATGATTTGCTAGCTTAATAAAGTGCAGATGCACTTTTGCTCATTTATAATATGCTGTGATTGCTTAGTGTTTGGTTAACCTAAGTCATGAAAATGACATAAGAACATAAGAGATGCCAATGTTGGATCAGGCCAAAGGCCCATCCAGTCCAACACTCTGTATCACACAGTGGCCAGAAATACCAGTGCCATCAGGAGGTCCACCAGTGGGGCCAGGACATTAAAAGCCCTCCCACTGTTGACCCCCCCCCAAGCACCAAGAATACAGAGCATCACTTGCCCCAGAGTCCCTATCTATACCTTGTGGCTAATAGCCACTGATGGACCTCTGTTCCATATGCTTATCTAATTCCCTTTTGAAGCCATCCATGCTTGTAGCCGCCACCACTTCCTGTGGCAGTGAATTCCAAGTGTTAATCACTCTTTGGGTGAAGAAGTACTCCCTCTTATCCGTTCTAACCCCACTGCTCAGCAATTTCATGGAGTGCCCACGAGTTCTTGTATTGTGCCTCTTCACATTACCATCAGATAACAGGTAACCTGGTACAGTACTACTACATTTTTATCCTGTGCTTTCTTCAAGGAGGTCAGGGCAATGTACATGATTCTCCCATTCTTTACTTTATCTTCAAAATAATCATAGGTTAGGTGGTGTGTGTGTAGAATGACTGGCTAAAGATCACCTTCAATATTGTCTGTTCGACTGATTTGCTTAACAATGCAAAAGCTAGTTGGATAAAACCCTATATCCAGGACTGTAGGTGTGAACTGAATAATTTGAGGGTTTCTTTTAGCAGGGGTGGATTTTAATATTACATTGGCAGTTGCCAAGTTCTTTTCTCAGTTGATTAAGATTAAAAATCATTAATTTTTTACATTATATAGACACATGTCTTAAATAAATATCCTTTTTTAAGTCTTAGTGTGACACTGTTCAGAGCTGAATTGGCTGTAAGTGCAGTATCATTAAAGTAAAAGTTGAAGATTAGAACATGGGATTCCATGTACTCCAGTACCACACTAGTGGTGATCACTTTCTTTGCCATTGTTTGCATGCAGAAAGTCTCAGGTTCAATCCTCAACATGTCCAATTTAAAGGATGGAGAGAAAAAATCCTGCCTGAAACTTTGAAGAGCCAGTGCCAGTCAGAGCAGATGGTACTGAGCTAGACAAGCCAATGTTCTGTGTTGCTATAATATGACTTCACATGGGTTCACTTCCCTTCATAAATATATAGGATATAACCTTATAGGGAATGAGTATTTAAAGTAT